TTCCATTTTGGACATATAGAAGTTAAGATCATAAACACCTACTATGTGTCATGCAATGGGAATACAGTGACAAAAGTGAAATAATTCCTTCCCTCAAGGAAATATTATTTTGGGAAGACAACATATGTAGATAAAAAAAAAATCAAAAGTTATTTGAGCAGAAGGAAACTAGCTACTGAGGGGATCAGGAGAGGCCTCATGTAGGAGGTGGCACTTGTCCACAGGGTAACCGGATGGGATCATCCAGCAGGCAAATGATGATGTGAAATAGGAGTTCCAGAGAAGGATTAAAGCTGGAGAGAGAGAGAGAGAGACAGACAGACAGAGAAAGAGAGAGAGAAACATATAGGTGTATGTAGTGGAAATAATTGAACATGTGGAACATGATGAGATCATTTAGGAAAGAAGGTATAAAGAATAGAAGAAGACCTACATTTTGGGTTTTGGGTTTTTTTGGTGGGTTTTTTTTTTTGGCTAGGCAATAGAATTAAGTGACTTGCCCAGGATCCCACAGCTATTAAATGTTATGTGTCTGAGGCTGGATTTGAACTCAGGTCCTCCTGAATCCAGGGCTGGTGCTCTATCCACTGCGCCACTTAGCTGCCCCTAGGCCCTACAAGTTGGAGCTAGAAGGTGAACGATGAATCAGCCAAGGAAACTGAGGACTCTGTAGACAGGCCAGAGAGACAACAGAGAACCAAAGTCACAGTAGCCAAGGGAGGAGAAAATATTTAGGAGGAAGAGGGTGGTCAACAGGAGCTTCATAGAAGCATGAGGACTCAGAAAATGACATTGGATAGATCAGTTAAACTTTGGAGACAGCAATTTCATTAGAGTTGTAGGATAGAAAGCCAAGCGGTAAGGAGTTGAGAAGTGAATTATGCCAAAGAAATGGAAACAGAAAGAGTGCACAACTCTTTCCAGGGACCTGGCAGTGAAACAATGATAACTAGTATTTATTTGAAAACGTGTGAGATGGCTTGCAAAGGGATGTCAGGATTGAGGGGTTTTAGGTCTTTGAGGAGGGACTATATTTAAGAAGGACAAAAGGAAGGACCAGATTTTCCTCAACTAGGACCTCAGGTAATCGGGTGAGGATACCCATCCCCCTAATGACTCCTCTCTTCCATAGACCATGTGCTGTGGTCAAACTGGACTTCTCATTGCTCATAAACATGACTCATGCTCTTCTATCTTCATGTCTTGGCTTCTCCCATTCTTTATACTTAGAATTCCTGCCCGTTGCTTGCCCTCATTGAAATCCTTACCAGTTTAAATATCAGCTCTGCAAATACCCAACCTGATCTCCTTAGTCAAAAATTCTTTATCTTCTTGGACCCAGCCATGGTCCTGTCTTTCTTTGGCACATGTGTTTTACTTTGTATTATAATGGTTTGTTTACATGTTTCTGTAGTCTCCTTAAAGTCAAGGACTATATCTTATCTTTGTATCCTCAGTAGCTAGTGCAGGGCTTTGCACACCAGATGCTTAATAAATGTGTGTTGAAACTATTATTGATGAATATTTCTAAGGCAACATGGAACCTCTTGTGCCCTAATATGCACTTGGCTTCCTGGTATATATTCTAAAAACTACATTCTCTCTAAGCAATCTTGATTAATGATAACAATGAAGAAGTTGGTCACCATTTATCTGTTTTATGAGCACAAATGTACTTTTGGACTTTAGAGTTTAGGAGCAAAATTAAATTTAGAGCTAATTACCCAATTTGAATGAATTTTAAATTCCTTTTAGATACACAATGTTTCTCCCAACCTTTTCTCTCTCCCCTAACCCCAATGTTGCCATCACCACTCCCCTGCCTAACCTTTGTGTCATTCCAAAGTAGTACTTTGAATAATTTAACTTTTTATACCTTACAATATAATTTTTATGTGCTAGGGTGAAAAGTAATTTAAACATAAAAGTAACATAAATTGATCATTTTAGTAGATTTGTTTTATGTAAAATTTACCCAAATTTGTCTGGTACTCTAGCTTCATTTAAAAGTAGGAAAATGTCTTAAAAAAACAACTTCCAGAATGTTTAAAATGAACTAAATCTTTTCAGCATTGCCTAAGTTGACCTTAACTTCACCACACCATTAACAACTATTTTTCTAACAGGAAAAGGCATCATTCAACAATCATTTCACTGTAGTAAATTTTTCTTTTTTTTTTCCTTCCAATGGCAGATATATGTCATCTTTTTTTTTACTTTCATAAATATTCAACATTTAGGGAGCAGCTAGGTGACACAGTAGATAGAGCCCTGGCCCTGAAGTCAGGAGGACCTGAGTTCAAATCCAGCCTCAGACTAAACACTTGACACTTACTGGCTGTGTGACGGGCAAGTCACTTAACCCCAATTGCCTAAAAAAAAAATGAGTCTTTAAAAAAATATTCTGCATTTATTATGACCAGTGTGAGGAAAAATCTTAGCCTTTTTTCATATAAATCATATAAGTTTCCATTTTTTATCCCTCAAGAAGCTAGAGTTATCATATTTAAAGCAACTGGAGGCTCCAGGCATTAGCTGGAAGTGGTGCTTAGAAGAATGGGTGGCCATGGAGTATATTTTGAAATTTTTGTTAAAGGGGTGTGTGTGTGTGTGTGTGTGTGTGCACACGTGCATGCACATTGTGAAAGTCCCCACCTGGGGCTTAAAGCATAGGTAAAACATTTCCTTGGATAACATGTGATAATATCTAAGAAGATCCAGTCACATTTGAACAGAACACATTTAAGCAGCTATATGAAGCTGTCTGATGTGTTACAGTGTGTAATGGTTTACTTGGTGACTTACATATGACATAGCTCAACTCAGTTTTTTTTTAAATATTGGTTTTTTTTAAGCTGTGTTATCTGATCAGTGAGGTTTGAATGTGTTCTGTTACTGTTCTCTGAAAAAATAACAGGCTGATTGTTTTTCATGCAATTTTTAGAAATTTTCTCCATTGTCATCATCCATAACTAATTTTCACTGAATGTCCACTCTGTGGGATGTTGTATAGAATGTGCTTAAAAACGGAATTCAGTAAAAAGAATCTTTCTGTAGCATCAGGGAGTTTGGGTTCTAACATGAATAACACATTGTTTAGGACATGCTGATTGGAGCTGCTCAACTGGAAGTTCGATGTTTTGTTCAAACATGAAATACTTAACTCTAACATTTGCATTTTTAAGAGTTTCGTGTGTGTGTGTGTGTGTGTGTGTGTGTGTGTGTGTGTGTGATGCAAGTCTGCAATTATTATTACTTTAATGGTTCCCATACATATCTGTGGCCGTGCATTCTTTATATCTTTAGTGTGGAGATGAGAAACTTTTTTTTTCAAGTGAGAGACTACTAGTAGAAAAAGAATAAACAAAGCACATATCAAGCAAAATTCAATTTATTTTACCTTTTCTTTTGAGTGAAATAGAAAACATCCTACTTGTCTGCTTTATAAATTTATATTGTTCACTAAATACATCTTGCTTCACTACTTCGAGGATGGATGATCTTTTTTGTGTGTGTCATTACTTCCTGTGCCCACACAGACTCAAATTATCCATGCTTAGTTGAATAGCCTTGTGAATTCCTATGACCTAAAAAATGTATCACCTTGTGGCCAACTTTCTGGTGATGTCTCTCTGAATTTGCTAAGTTGATCGTTGGATGACAGACTTTGTAGGCTCTGTTGCCAGAATCCTGCTCAAAACCTTTATCACATGGTAGAATCTACCAGAGCTTGACATACCCCTCAAGAATGCAAGGTTCACTTCACAATACAGTGAGGCATCAGAATAGGATTTTAAGGAAAGATTCAATAAATAACAAATTTGTTAAAAATTCAGTTTTATGTTATAACCACTTAAGGGATAAACAGAGACAAAGCTTCCGTGTTTGCTAAAGATCTAAGAGGTTGGGAGAGATCAAAGTCATTCTATTTTAGGGAATGGGTGGAGAGTGGAAAAGAGGAATAAAGACTAGAAATTTCTTAAGTGGCTAAATACTGACAGCATTCGCTGTCCCTAAAGTTTAAAGCTGCTATATTCTTGAAGTCCTTCCCTCTTTTTCAATTGGGGGAAAGAAAAAACAACCTCCAAGCTGTGTATTCCAGGGAGCATAGCAGTTCACTTTGCAGCAGAAAAGATCTGATTTCATAGAGTAGTATCTCTGTCTTGAGGCCTTTTAGGATATTATCAATAAAAAATTTTGAAGTTATTGAGGTTGGGGGGCAACTGTTTTGTATAATTTGAATGATCTCTTGGTATTTGTCCTAAGGACTGGATGAAATGAAGTAGAAGGCTGAAGATTCCATTCCCCAGCTTTAGAGAGAAGGAAGAGATGGCAGAACAAGAACTGATCTTACACCCTATCCTCTACCTCAAAGAAATTCTATCTTTGGCTTTTTACCATCCAGAGCCAGCCTGTTCAATAGTATTTCTAAGAGTTAGGTACTTTTCCCATTTGCTGAGTTCTAGCTCAGAAGCTAGAACTAGAAGTGAGCCATCTTAATGTAGAGTATTATGTACTCTTTCCACAAAGTGACCTTCATTTCATCTACTTTAGTTATTGAGCCAGGTGTCATTGAAAGCCCCTTAGCTCAGTTTTAAAAAATGTCATTTTAGTGGCGTGGTAGGTAAGGTACAGTTAAAGTTAATATCTAGTTTAGAGTTGGTACATGGAGAAAGCAAATAAAAGGGAATTACTTTAAAAGAATTATGGAAAAGACACCATCATTTATGTGTTTGGGTTACTCTACAAAGCAATTTGGATATTTTCCACTAGGATAAAACTTCTCTGTGTGAGTAAAAAGAAAGTGTGACTTATTATATGCTTGTTGTGTGTATCACTTTTTCATTAACACAAATATAGCTATTTTCTGTAAATAAACCATAAGGAAGTTTTTTTCTGTGTACACGTATCAGATGAAAGGGTGTTACACCTTTGATCTTCATGAATATCTGCTGCTTGAATAATTGCTCTCCTCTCTCTCCCCTTTCTTTCCAATACAGTACATTGTGGAATGCCATGGGGTTACCCTTCTTCCTCAGTTTTTGGGCATGTACCGGCTTAATGTTGATGGAGTGGAAATATATGTGATCGTGACAAGAAATGTGTTCAGCCACCGTTTATCTGTTTATAGGAAATATGATTTAAAGGTGAGAACCATCTAACGATTCGGCGGTAGTCATCATTCACTTCTATTCAATTTAATATTTATTAGACACTTGTACGTATGTATTAGACACGTGTATAAGTAATGGTGCCAGTCTCTGGGGACACAAAGACAAAACCGATTTTTGCTCTGTCCTAAAGGGGGTTATGTTCTTCATTCAGTTCATCTCATGTTCCTCAGTCCAAATTGTCAAAATCAGCAGTAAGTCAGAAGCATTTATTAAGCACCTGTTGTATGTAAAGCATTGCGCTAAGTATTGGTATATATAAAATAAAGCAAAACACAGCCCCTGCTCTCAAGGAGCTGACAGTTTAACAGGGGAGAAAACATTCAAATAGCTTTGTATGAACAAGATGGAGGAGTCCTTCAGATAAATGTGAAATGACTTGTCAAGGGCCACACAACTATTCAGTGCCTAACACTGGATTTGAATTCAGATCTTCTTAACTCCAGGCCCAGCAGTCTAGCTAATACAACACTTGGCTGCCTGGGTGGGGAAAGATACTTGCTAAATTAGAGTAGATGCTGATGGATAGAAATGAAGCCACTAAGGTTAGGGGGTGGCAGTAATGGGGGCTTAATTATATCTTGGTCTTTTAGAAGGCACTGTGGAAAGCCAGGTGGCACAGTGGATAAGAGTTCAAGGCATAGAGTTAGGAAGATTCTGAGTTCAAATCTGGCCTCAGACATTTACTGTGTGACCCTGAGTAAGTCACTTAACCCTGGTTGCCTTAGTTCCTTATCTATAAAGTGAGCTGGAGAAGGAAATGGCAAACCACTCCAGTATCTTTGCCAAGAAAACTCCAAATGGGATCACAAAGAGTTGGACACAACTGAAAAGATCAATCAACAACAAATGGAAAGGTAGTGTCCATTTTCACTGGACTTCTTTACACACACACACACACACACACACACAAATATACATATATAAAGATTAAGATGCCCAATTCTAGCATCCCTTTTTGTAGGTAGAATAGCTGTGTTGTTTATTTAGTTTCTGGACATATTTGGTTCTGGCCAAGTTTTTTTTTAAATGGGGTAGAGTTCTCATGGCTTGCACCATTTTCATGACCAACATGTATAATGGAAACCTTTAATTTTCCTTATTTCAGTTCATCATGTTTCATTGTACATTCATTAAAACTTAGCTGAGTTGTCTTCCAGGCGCAGGATTTGCAGCTACTTGGAAATGAGGCTTCACTGAGAATCAAAAACTGGGTGTATCTAACCAAAAACATTTGGTTAGATAACTCAGGATATAGAATGTAATAAAATATTTTTCCCTGTGCCTAATATTATGAGCTTTGTTCAGCTGTTAAAAGCACCCATTAAAAACATTCAGCTTATAAATATTAATTGTCAGGAATTAGGGTGTAAAGGGAGACATTCATGACATATGTAGAAATCCCTTAAGGGAAAAGGAGTGCACCCTTGCATCTGGTTTTTGGCTGTGTGTGGAAAGGCAGCCTGAATATTGCAATCATTGCATTGGCTGCCAAACAGTCTTTATGTTTCCCGTCTCTTCCCTCTCCTTTTCTGCATAAACATCAGCCTCTTGGACCATTGCATGGTTGTTTCAGATGACCACTGGTCCCAGGAAGCTGAGAACCACTGAGCTAGAGACTTGACAGTTGGTAGCTTCGTAATCACATGGCTTCAGTCTACTCTTATGTGAATTATGTTGGATCTTAGCTTCCTTAATTGAAACAGAATATAAGACACTTTACTCCTTTCTTATCAGGTGGGCTCAATTGTTTAAATGATAGCTAGTATTTATGTGAACATTTAAATTAGTCTGAAAAGTCATCATGGCTTAGTAGATAGACAGATGGTGTCTGTAGTTAGGAAGACCTGAGTCTAAGTCCAGTCTCTGAAATATACAAGCTATGTGTCACTTGACAAGTCATTCAACTTATCAATACTCTGGGCAATTCTCAATGGAAGACTGAATATCCGTGGTGTGGGTTTTTAATTTGCTTCTCTACAAAATGTCATGTGAGCACTCATCTTCATGGAATTCCCTACACCAGTGAAATCACAGGTCAAGCTTAAAAACAAAAAGAAAGAGGCCCAAACCAGAGCTCCATTTTGATATATCTCATATTGAAAACAAAACAAAATCTCTTGAACAGTAATGAATTTTTCCATGGCAACAAGTTTAGAATTGAGAGAAAGGTAAGAAATCAACTCTTCCCCAGTATATTGAATATCCTCTTAGCTGTCCTGGGATATATACCAGGTAAAATGACATCATTACCATCATAATCAGCATTTATATACTGTGTTAAGGTTTACAAAGCACTTTACATATGTAATTTCATTTGATCCCCTCAGCAACCCTGGGAGATGGGTAGTTTGTTACCCCCATTTTACAAGTGAGGAAACTAAATCTAAGAGGCTAGATTTAAACTCAAGTTTTCCCGTTTCCAGGTCCATCGCTCTAACCACTGCTCTGTTTAGCTGCCTATTCTCTCACATGACCCCAAATTCTTTCCTCCAGTCCTCTTAGATAATCTCAAGCTCAGCCTTGGCTCATCAGGAAATAGCCCAGTGGTCCAAGCTCCTCTTGGCTGCACCATTTCATTTTCATGACCTGAAGTCCCTTTGGAAGACAGGACAGCTATTGGCAGTGACGGAAGCGTCTTCTGAGCACATGCCAGTTTTCTCCAGCCTGGAGTTTTAATTCGACATAACTACTTAGAAACAAAAACATAATCAATGCCAATTGCAATAAAAATGAATGAGGGCTGAGCTACTTTTACCGAAGGAAACCTAGCAGATGCTTTTGACTAACCTGAAAAGAAAGAAAGATCTGAGGAAGATAAGGGATAAGCACAAGTAAGGGAGGGTGGTGGCAACCACAGATGTCAGGCCTTTCTGAAAATTGGTCCATATTTGACCCCTGAAATTCAGGGGAAAAGTATTGATGTTCAGTTGTATCCAACACTTCATGACCCCATTTGGGGTTACTAGAGTAGTTTGTCATTTCCTTCTCTAGCTCATTTTACAGATGAGGAAACTGAGGCAAACAGAGTTAAGTGACTTGCTCAGGGTCACACAGGTCTAAGCCAGATTTGAACTCAGGAAGATGTGTCTTCCTGACTCCAGGCCCGGCTCTGTGTGCACTATGGTGCCACCTAGCTGCCCCTCGTGGCAGAGTACTCGGGCAGTAATTGAGAAATCACCTGCTATGCCTGGCCATTGATATACAGGGTAGACCAGAAAAGCAGACAGCACTGGCTCCAGAGTCCTCTGATGGCTACTACCTATGCAACCTGGGGAAAGCCACTTCCCTCCGCAACTTCCTCATCTGTAGCTGTAGAAGGAGGCATTTGAACAAGAGGACCTCCAACATCCCTTTTGGATTTGTGGGCCTCTGGTACGTGGCATCCAGGGTCCTTAGAGAACTGAGTGATTGATTCAAGTCCACGCAGACAGTGGCGTATCGGAGACTAGAAATCAAGTCTCCCAACTTCTAATTCATTCTTCTCTTCACCACACCATATGGCCCCCAGAACAGAGATGCCCAGGGCATGAGAAGAGCCAGCAGGAACCGGGTAACACTTACACATCAGCTCAGGTTTTCCTCTGGCCCAAGGTCAGACGTGAGGTCAGAGAGGAGTTAGTATGGACATGGCCCATTCAACTGGCCAATGGACTGGTTACCTAGCCTACAAATGGAATGGTACAGCCACAAGATATATGAGTATTGTATGAGCAAGATTTCATATGATTGTGACAGCTAGGTGGCACAGTGGATAGAGCATTCCTGAGTTCAAATCTTCCCCCAGACACTTGTTAGGGGTGTGACCTTAGGCAAATCACTTAGCTGCTGTCTGCCTCAGTTTCCTCAACTGTAAAATGGGGATAATGATAGCACCCACATCCCAGGTTATTTCTGAGGATCAAATGAGATAATATCTGTGAAGAACTTGGCAATGCCTCAAGCGCTCTATAAATGTTAGCTGTTATCATTATCTTATCTAGACATGTAGGAAAGAACACAAGGGAAATGAATCCAATTGATCTCAGTCAGGAAAGGTTTGAAGGATCTTCGGGAACAACCAGAGAGGGGAAAGTACAAAGAAAATGAAAAGCGATGAACTAGAAATGCAGACATTTGTCCATGAGCCACTGTCTTCCATCCAGCAACTTCCCTTCAAAACAGATTTCGGTTCTCAGTGGTGGCTGAGGTCATTCTATGCCTCGCCCACACCGAGGTTTCCTGCTAGATTACCTCTGTGCCTTGCTTGGCCCTTGGAAAAATTTCTCTTCTATCATAATGATGCCAGGGAATATTATCCTCTTTTAAAATGTGGACATTGCTTCCCATTGTACATATTTTTATATAGTCTTTCTTTTTCAGGGGTCTACTGTGGCTAGAGAAGCTAGTGACAAAGAAAAGGTACAGTAATGTTATAGTTGTTGTTGTTTTCCTTCTGGTTCCTACCTGGTAGTATGTCTGAGATTGGGTGAAATTGTTCATTATATATGTCTGGCCAGTTTCCTTCAATTCCCTTAGCCTTTACCCTTTCCCTTTCTTTTTTTCCTTCTCTTTCTTTCTCTCTCTCCTTTCCTCTTTCTCTTTATCTCTTTCCTTTCTTCCTTCTTTGCCTCTCTTCCTTTTCTCCCTTCTTTCCCTCCTTCCTTCCTCCTTCTTTACTCCTTTTCTCCTTTTTCCTTTTTTCTTTCTCTCCCTTTCTCTTCTTTCATCTCTTTCTCACTCTTCCATCATCATAGTTTTTCTTCTCCCCCATTAGCTATCAGTAGTAAAAACCATATTATGGAACTGAGCTGGGATCCCCTGAGTAATGAGATTGCTATTAACTTGTAAGGTATTGGAAAAGTAGGAATTCATATTTAACATACAAAGTGCTGATGAAAGCATAGTTCCTCCTTGGTAGACTCAGGAACCTCATGGACAGGCATAATACAACACAGTGATGAAGAGACAACTAGATAAAGAGTCAGATGCCGAGAGATCCAGCCTTAAAGCCACTGCTATGTAGCAATGTGACCTCGGACAAATCCATCCTCTCTGGGTTTCACTTTTCTCTTCTGTAATATAGAGGAATTAAGTTAGATGCTCTATAACACCCTTCCAACTCTCATCTTCCATAATGCTGTAACATTAAAATAAATACATTTTTGTTTGTTTAAAAAATTGAAGGGATAGAGACATCTTTTGTTTTTCCTGGATCATTTGACTTTAGGTAACCTAATAATAATAATAACAAATGATATAGCAGTTGCTATGTGCCAGGCACTGTACTAAGAGCTTTACAGTTATTATCTCATTTGATCCTCACATTATCCCTGGGAGGTAGGTGTTGCTATTATCCCTATTTTACAAGTGAGGAAACTGAGGCAAACAGGGATTAAGTGACTTACCCAGGGTCACATAGCTAGTAAGTGTCTGACTGAGGCTGGATTTGAACTCAGGTTTTCCTGACTCCAGGCCTAAAACTCTCTCCAGTGAGCTACTTCATTGCTTTCTACCATTTTCATTTCAGGATATGTTGCGGCACCGTCTTTTCAATACTTCATACAGATGCTAGGCATAAAGTTGTGTTTTCTTTAATAAATCCCTTCTGAACAAGTATCAGCCATCCATGATCCTAGAGTCTAAATTCAGCGTTACTGTGACTTTCCAGTAGGGACCCCTCTTTGGTATTGTGTTTCAGTGGGTGCATCTGTTACTATGTCTTTGTCCTTGAATCTTCCTGTGTAAATCATACTGATGACCCCAGCATGCCCAAGAGAGACAAACTTGATTGACCACAGGCTCCCATACCCCTCCTGACTCAAGATTTTGATTTTAAACCCATAAGAAATCCAGAAGGCTGGTGTTGTTTTTCCCCTTCTCTCTTTCTTCCAGGAGGAAATGCCTGGACAGTTACGATCCATGAGCACTTTTCAACTTTTTGACAAAATGCCAAACTGACTAGCAGCTCCTGAAGAAGAATTGGGTCCATCGTGACACCTGATTGTCTGCATCATTTCCCCTCTTTTTCTACATTTTATCAAGTCTCTCAAGACCACAGCTGGAATGGCCATCACTTATCTCTGGTCCATTCGTTTTGATTTCTTAGGTTCTATTAACAGAGGAATGGTCTCTTAGACCTCAGGGAATGGTGCTCCTTTGCTTTGAAAGGAGAACAGATGCTGAGGAAAGAGAGTTAACTTGGCAATTAATATGAAAGCTAAAACCAGATGAATAACATAAAGTAATAGAGGAGAGAAAGGCACAAACATTCGTCTTTCAGCATAGTTTAAAATTTTCATCTAAAGCAGGATGTTCAAAGATACAGTTACCCCTTTGTAGGTCAGGACGTTCTTGGATCCTAATGCCATATGTGTGCTTTGGGTGGGAGAGGGGAATGGGTGGAGCATTGAGTGGTGTGATTAGAAAACTAGCCTTAGAGTTAAGAAGAAAGGTTCAAATCTTGCCTCTACTTATTCTGTGATCCTGGGCAAGTCACTTAATTTCCCCCTGCCCTGGGCAAATCCCTGACATTGAAAGTTGCAGAACAGAGGCCCAGGAGTTCCCTTTGCCAATGAAATCGTAAGTCTGATCCAAAATACAAATACAGCAAGTGTTCAAATGTAGCACCATTTGCAAGTGAATTTAAGAAGACTACAGCTCTCTCCCTGGTACTATTATTGTAAACTCAAAAAAATTCTGCATCTGTAGAATTCATGCATTAGTACATAAAGTCATTGGGGGAAAGAATTTCCCCTCTCTCATTAATTCCCTTACCTCCATAGAAAGTAAAAGATATTTCTAAGATTTTCCCAAGAAAAATCCCAGATGTGTAGGAATTATCTCCAGTGCTACCATCTTGGTGCCTTCATTCTGTTTTCAAGCATGTTAAAATAGAGTATTCTGAGTTTTACAAGTGGTGGTGATATGTATCAAAAGGACTGCCTTTTAGGCTTGAAAATCACCACCGCTGCCCTGGCAGTAGGCATTGAGATTTCAAAGTATAGGTGTCAGAAGATAAGTGGTCTTGAGGTTATCCTTCTGTCCTTTGGCTTGGAAACTTCAAAACCTTCTCTCTGGGACCTTTTATGCTGGGCTGCTGTTTCTGTGTTCTTCCAAGAACTGAAGATCCTCATTCTGACTGTCCTCTCCTAAGGCTCAGCCAAAAGAATAGTGGCTGATGGGAGTTAAGCTCTTGGGACTGCGACTCCATTTTTGGTCTGCCAAGAACCAGAATCTCTTTCTTTCTTGCCTTCTGTCCCAATGTGATCCCAGTTGAACTGGATATGCCAAGATGTGCTAGGACTAGCCTCCATTGTAGTCCCCTCTTTACCAGACATTTCAGCATCCTCTTGTGAGAATACATCTGATTTTAGGGGGTTCTATAACAGTTCACTTTGCAGCCAGCTTTGCTAGAAATATTGCATGCTCTAAAGTGAGGGGCACTAGGCTAGGACATCTTTCTTTGGCTGTTTTCAGTGCAGAACTGATCTATTTCTCTAAACTAATTTCTCCTTGTAATTTCTTATTAAACTCTTTTGTGGTGGCTGTTTATGTGCATGTCTTATCCCCCTGACTAGTCTGCATGCTCCATGAAAGCAGGTACCAGGTTTATTCTGCTTACTTTGTGTCTCCCACCACTTCTAATATTATACCTGGAACCTCCCTGGCACTGACAGTTTTTTTAATGAAATCTTAATCCTAGATTTTTGGACCCAAAGAGTACCTCAGAAACCATCTGCTAGTTATTGTGTGTTTTTTTTAAACAGTTAAGCCCCACATTTCACAGATGAAGAGAGAAAGAGGTTCAGAGGTTTCAGTAGTATTTTGTCCAGTGTAAAAAAGCTATTGTTTTTGAATGTTTGGGCCATACTTGCATTATTGAAAATATATTTATTACAAGATTGCTCATGTAGATAAAAATTAAGTGATTTATCATTTTCAAATTTGCCAAGTGCTTTCCAAATGCAATCTTATTTAGGTGCTATTATTATCCCCATTTTACACATGGGGAAACTGAGGCAGGTAGCAATTAAATGACTTGTCTAGGTTCACACAAGTAACATATAATAATAGCAATTGTACTAGCAGAAGCAGCAGTAATAGCAGTAATACTGATATAGCACTTTAAAGTTTTCAAAAGCAGTTTACATAAGTGAACTCATTTGATCCTCATAAGAACTCCATGAGTTACTAGGAAACTGAAGCTAAGAGAAATTAAGTAATATGTCGAAGGTCACAGAGTTAGTAATGACAGGGCTGGAACCTTACTTTAATTTGATTTTTTCCTTTTTAAGATTTAGTTGCAGATAATAGGAAATACACTGATAAAACTTTTTAAAAAGTAGTCAAAATATTGAAATGATTGATCAAAAAGCCATTACAAATTTGGAAGTAAATGAAAAATGTTCTCTACTGAAAACATCATTGGCTTAGTGAGAAAAATGACACCCCCCCCACCAAAGAAAAAAAACACCCAGGGGAAAAAAGTTAATCAATTCAAACTTGTTTTAGAAAAAAATCTCTAAATTTGGGGTTTTTTTAACAGTAAACCAGCATTTTGGTACTATATAGGCAAAACAGCTGATTTGTAGGTGAGGGAGGAAAAAACCATATTTGACTTTTTTCTAATTAATAATTTTTTATATACACATTAATATGGGTGTTACTTTGTACATGCAAAAATTCTGAATTTGGAAGGCAGAAGATAAATAGTTTGAAGGTCACAAGTATACAACTTTTTTTTCCTTTCTTATTAATGGAGTTTGATAAGAGATAGCAATACATGCTTTGGTAATAAAGCCATCTTGGTTTAATCATATAGTCATTTACCTGCAATCTTGAAATAAACATATCTTCAGTAATGCAAGTATGACCAAAACATTTAAAAGTAGCAGCTGAACCATTCATGATGCTAAATGATTAACAGCGATATTGAGAAGATACGAACTTTATGTTTTAAATTACATGTGAAAACAATTGACAGTGTCTTTTCTTTCCTTCCACATGCTGATTTTCAGTCATTCAGGGTGTACTTATGAAGCACCTTTGTCTTAAGTGTCAGAGATTAATGAGACACTGTCCCTGCTCTGTTCTTCCCTCCTGGTCAATATTCTTGACCCCTAAAGCAGTATCATGTTTTCTGTCCCCATAAATAAGAAAGAAAACTCACCAAAATGTACGTTGCTGACTGGGATTTGTTTATTTGAATCATCCTTTCCCTTTTGGCTTTGGGGCCACTTTCAAACAAAATAAAGCTCTATTCAAGAAAACCAGGCTCTGTTTTAATTACTGTCCCACCGTATACCCTACCGAATTTATTGTCATGAATTTTTCATCGCAAGCCTCCGTGGAGGCTTGGAATTCTTTTCCTTCTTGGTTCTCATTTCTTTCCGATCATTACAACTGTTTCATGACCCAGT